TGGATGTGGCCCATCGTATTAAATCCTTTTCGAAACCCTACTTGCTCACAAGGCTGCCTTTCGTCCAGTGTTTTGTCATTCTTGCTTCGGAAGACTCGAGTGAAGAGTTTGTAGATGACAGACAGCAAGCAGATTGGGCGATAATTGCCGACATCGTGGAGGTCACCCTTCTTGAACATTAGCACGACCTTGCTGGTCTTCCATTGAATAGGGACCTTGCGTTTAGACAGGTAACGTGTGAAGAACCGGGCCAGTTTGTTTACGAGGACTGGCGGAAGGTGCTTCAGGTATTCAGATCTTATCCTGTCCGGACCTGGAGCTGTTCGATTTTTCACCGACGGAATGGTATGTCGGATTTCGTACGGGCGAACCGGTGGTACAACATATCCGTCCTCATTTATTTCATATGAAGGGAGGTGGACATAGCTATCGAAGGGATCCGAGTAGTATTCGTGAATGATTTTCTCCATCGCCTTTCTGGACGCTGCAACTATTCCGCCTGGGCGTCGGAGTGCAATCATCTTGGTCTTGTAATTGGTGAAGCTTCGATGGGTTTTGCGAATGCTTTTCCTAGCCTCTACAGCTTCGACCATTACTGCTGCTCTTCTCTCCTTGTGATCATCCTTTATAGAATGTCTGCATTGTTTTGCAAGTTCGGAAATTAGTTCGTGGTCTCCTGCAGCTCGTTGGATTCCACGCTGGTGTATCAGCTCGAGTGTTTCTGGAGACAGACGTCTCTTGATGGCTTTCGAACATTCAGCTTTCATAACGCTAACGTGAAGATGTTGAATGAGCCGATCGTATTCTTCGTCGATGTTATCCACAACGGGGTCTTCCCAACAGCCGACTAATGAATTGAATAAGTCTCAGTTTACGGTGGTTCTGGGATCCTCTTTTCCATGATAAATAGAATCTTGTACGAAGGAGACGATTGTTTGATCCCGTGCAGGATTTTGGGACAACAGCGACATCGGTTAGGCAAAACTTCCTATTTACTATGTGTGGTCTATTTGGTTATGGTAGTCTTTATTGGGAGATTCGCACGTCCGGCATTGAGAGTGGGGCTTCTGGCGCATACTACTCAGTAATACATAATTCTTCAGACGGCGCTTGATGAGGAAAAGACTTATTCTTGCGGATGTAAGGAAAGAAGAAAGTTAACTTTACCAAGAATTAAATGTAGATAGGAAAGCAGATAGTTCAGTGGAAAGGTACCACAACGAGCACGTACCTGGACGGCAGGCGTCTATGCCACATTCTCTCCATTGAAATCGCAAACGTATGCGGACATGATATTTTCTAACGCATTCGAAAAATCGACTATATCAATTAGACATGACTCCATCATCTTTTTCTGACGATCTTCGATCTTACTGCACAGCTAAAGCAAAATCCTTACTCAACGGCAAAAAAGCAACACATTGAAGACCCACAAACTCACGCTGGTGAATAAACTTCTAATGTTTGCTGCTGTATTGCTTGTACTATTGAGCTGGTCAAACAGCACATTCTTAGAATGCAATTTAGACACAATTAGCTCGTATGCTTCAAACACAGCATCTGAACGCTGAAAATTCTACATTTAGCCCATCAACATAACCTGGGATAAATCGTCTAGTTCAAACCAGTATCTGAGGCCGACCATACTTTTCTGAAAGGGAAATATCCACCTGCGGAAATGTTCCCTACGTTTCGAAGAAAACATCGCTGAGTGCCCTACGGCTGGCTGCAGTTTTCTTTTCAGTTGCACAAGTCGTCAGCTGGACGGTAAGTCTCCTTAGAAGCACACACTGCCTAACATGCTTCATTGGCAAATATGAACAACTAAGATTCATTAGTGACTTCACAACCTCATTGCGATTGGCATACCAGACACGATATTTTACGAGGAGTGGTAAATTTCTGCGCGCGCTACTACTCTTTTGCAAACAAACAAACATAAGGCTTTGAAGATATTTAAAGAAATCTGAGAAAATTACATCAGGCCAACAAAGAAACTTCAGTTGTTCTGAAGCTTGGCAATGATAATATACTATCCCAATATTCATTAAAAGCATCCTAGGCAGGTTTATATCGAACTTCGAGTGTGTGTAGCAACTAGGGAAATTCACTGGTTGTGCGGATCCAAGCATAATCTCCATTTTTGGGAGATTTGCGGGTTAAGCCATTATGGTTTCCTGGAATCACGAGGTCAGCCTGGCCAAAGTCTGCCTCCAATCCTCACCATTACAAGCAGCCGGATCAGATGAAGAATTACCACCATGCGACTTCGATACCAGGGCGGTAGTGGATCTTGGTGTCAGTTTACTCTTTGATAGACTCCCTGATGGAAACGCCGGATTCCTCAACTTGACAGACCCTACCAGAGGATGAAACCCCCGCTGTATATCGCCGTCCGACACCCAGGAACACTTCCCATCAACGATTAGGTGACAAACCGTTGTGAGGTTCCACATCACGTGTAATTCCTCCGTCGATTGTCGACTAAATCGAGAGGGGCCAGTAAATTTTCCGTTTTTCCTTGTCGCGTGCAAGAGTAACTCAGTGGGATTTGGTCGCTCTAGGGACTCGTTAAGCATCATATACTTTCTCTAGGAATTTCGTGAACTCTTACCATTGAGTCGGTGGTGTACCTGCAGTGCGTTTAACATCCCGAGGAATTCAGTCACAAACGGCTCTTCCCCATCAGTTGTCGTTCATACGCGTTACGAGCCCGGCACACCTTATCTTCGACTGCTTGGCGTACAGAACGTAATGTTCTATTTTTGATCGTTGATGCAGGTCGCAGATTCGATCCTACCCCTTACTTGTGTGAAACGGTATACTCCTAGCACGTCCTTTCTACTGCACGCTCGATAACGCTGAGTGATCTTTCATCCTGCTTACACAGCGACCACGTTTCTGACGCATACGTCAAAGCGGGAAGTATTGCTGAGTCAAAAAGGTGGGAAAGCCGAGTCGGGTGCTCCTTGCTCTCTTCATTACATCCCGGATGCTCTTGAAAGCTCACCAAGAAGCTCGTTTTCCTCTGCTTAACTCTGGAGCTAAGTCGTTCATAATGCTGATTTTGGGACCTAGATACACGTAACTGGAGCATTCAAAGATATTCGTTCCGTTGAGCGTGAATAGGGCATACGAAGCCAATCCCTTCCCCACGAAAGTCGTTTTTGTGAGATTTAGTCGAAGACCAACCTTTCCACAGGCTTTATCAAGGTCGGCAAGCATACGTTCCGCTTGGCTAATGTTTGATGTTGTAAGCACGATGTCATCAGCAGAGCGAAGATGGTGTAACTGCCGACCATCGATTTTCACTCTCGTATTATCCCATTTCAAAGTTCCCATGACGTTATGGAGAGTGGCGGAAAATAATTTCGGAGAGATTGTATCGCCTTGTCTAACCCCTCTTTTGATGCCAATGTTAATATCACTGTAGAATGGTGATATCTCGGCTGTGAAGTTTTTGTACAGCTCACGAAGAACCTCTATGTACTGAGTAGGGAATTCTTAACTATTAAGGGCTTCCATGACTGCTTCTATGTCAATTGAGTCAAAGGCCTTTTTAAATCAATGAAAGTGAGACAAAGCGGTCTTTTGTACTCTCACGATACTTCAATGAGCATTGTTATCGCGTGGATGTGGTCCATCGTACTAAATCCTTTTCGAAACCCTACTTGCTCACAAGGCTGCCTTTCGTCCAGTGTTTTGTCATTCCTGCTTAGGACGACTCGAGTGAAGAGTTTGTAGATGACAGACAGCAAGCAGATTGGGCGATAGTTGCCGACATCGTCGAGGTCACCCTTCTTGAACAATCACACGGTCTTGCTTGTCCTCCACTGAGTAGTGATCTTGCATTCAGACAGGTAACGTGTGAAGAGCCGAGCCAGCGTCTTTACGAGGACTGGCGGAAGGTGCTTCAACTATTCAGGCCTTATCCTGTCTGGACCTGTTGTTGTTAGATTTTTCACCAACGGAATGGTATGTCGGATTTCGGAAGGGCGAAGCGGTGGTACGACATATCCAGCCTCCTTTATTTCATATGATGGAAGGTGGATGTTGCTATCGAAGAGATCTGAGTAGTGTTCGTGAATGATTTCCTCCATTGCCTTCCTGGACACTGTAACTGTTCCGTCGGGGAGTCGAACTGAAATCATCTCGGTTTCATAATTGGCAAAGCATTGGTGGGCTCTGTGAATACTTCTCCCAGGCTCTGGAGCTTCGACCGTAACTGCTGGTCGCCCTTCTTTAAGATTCTCTTTTATCGCCTTCCTGCATTGTTTTGCAAGTTCGAACATGAGTTAGCGATTACCTGTAGTGCGAGTGATTTCACGTTGGCGTATCAGCTCGAAAGTCTTTGTAGAAGACGTCTCTTGGTGACTTTCGAAGTCTCTGCTTTCACGGCGCTAACGCGAAGATGATGAATGAGCCGATAGTACTCTTTGTCGATATTATCAAGAACGGCATCTTCCTAACTGCCGAGTTAACGGTGGTTTTGGCACTTCCTTTTTCAAATTTAGCGGGTTTTTCTCTTTTCCGTGGAAAATGGTATCTTTTACGTAGGAGGCGATGGTCTGATCCTAGCTAGAATTTTGGGAGAACAGCGACATCGATAAGGCAAAACCGATTTCTTACAATAGGTCTAATTCGTTGTGGTACTCTCCCTTGGGAAACTTCCACGTCCAGCATTGAGGGTGGGGTTTCTGGAATTGCGAGTTCCACGAACGGTCTTGGTCCTCATGATAAACTCAGAGAGCCGTTCATCCTGTTCGTCCTATTCTAATCCGTGGGTTCCAATGCGACGTCTTTCGGATGTTCTTCTTGGTCTAGTCTTAGCGTCAAAATCTCCTGTGATGACCTTGAAGAATGTATAGTCTTCTCTGTATAACTTCTCCAAGTCCATAGATAACGCTTCGATGGCGCGTAAACGACTAAGATTGTCAAAGCCGGAATTGATCCACATCTTTTTAATCGTAAACATCTGATTCGGGTTGTTAGTTGCTCGAATGAATCAATGTTCATGGACAAACACTGTCGACGTCGAAAACGTCGACGCCGTCGACTCCTCAACTGTCGCATGTTCCGAGGAACAGTTCTTCTCCGGCGTCATAGACGGCGTTGAATATGTGGCATCGTCTCGTCTCGCCGAGGCCGATAACGTCGTACCTTATCTTTCTCGCTTGCATGATCAAGTCTTCTATCAGGACCGGGATGCAAGTGTATGTGCATTGTAAGTACAGATCGTCACCATAGTTGTTTGTAATCCAGGCAGCTTCCATTGGCCCTGAGATTTTAGCAGCCTCGCCGTACTCGCCCTACCCAACACTCCCGAATTGGGGGCCCTTTCGGGTCAGGGGAATGCGTTTTTTTTTACTGTGTTGAGCATTTTGATACCTACGTATAGCTTGCTGGGCTCTCAACGTGGGGGCTGGGTATACTCACGGGTAGCTTGCCAGACTCTCCCAGAACGTAAATGGAGCTTATTTGCTTCAGGTGACTCCTAACCGTCTCCCATATATTTCCCTGTCACTAGATTGCAGTCTTCTGGTCGAATTGACTCGTAGAATACAACTTCCATAAACTTGAACGCACCCACACATGCGCGCATGAATACGCTTCGTAAATATAGACAGTATGGGCCAAATCAGCACAGCAGAAGGGAGTCCATCCCCTGGATCCAACTGAGTCTCAGGGAAGCAAGGGTCGCTTTTGGTCCGCGATTAAGCCTCTATCCACCACCTGTGGACACGCCACGTAGCCTTGCGACTAACCGGCTATCGGGATCCCTCATATGAGGGAGATCCGCGGAATACAGTATAACAGGAATAATAAAAACAACAAATTAACCAGTTATTAGCAACTTTTTTGCGATTCGCTTCAACACACTGTCGTCAAGAGGTCGGTCGACTAATCTCAGGATTCGCTGCTGTCATAAAAATCATCGCCAATCCCCAAAAATCTTATATGTGAGCCAGAAAACTTCTTCTTTCACAACGGGCGAATGGCGAATATTTGTGACAAAGACAAGGGAATGTTTTAGCATGACTATCTCAGGATTACTGGGGAAAGCTAATCTTGAGGAGCATTCCATGTCGATTCAGTGCCAGTGAAGACGAAAGATGACGGCTTCAATTAGCTTCGAATACACAAGCGAATCCGAGCACTCCGTCGACGACGATTTCGAAACAACGAGACGAATACAAAAAGTACTATAGCATACATGAGAAGGAAGACGACCTAAGTGCCTAGATAACAGGACTATTTAGGTTTTCGAAATCGCTGGACGTTTCGTTAGGGCTTGCCCTAACTAGTATTTGGAAGGACGAGGCTGAAATAAAATCGAGAGCAATAAAGAGAAACATAGAAAATTGCAATTACATCTGCTAGGCATTTCAGAAAGAATTAATGAGCTGATTTCAAGATAGACTATCGTAAAACAGGAAAGTTTATGCACCACATTTGTTAAAGGTACCTAGTCAATGAGGTAACAAGAAACATCAGGACATTCAACTATATCACCACTAAGTATCAAGAGCAATAAAATGAACAAGTCGGTTTGACTCCAAATAGGTTTTGTAAAACGGCATAGAAGTCAGAGTTTATCTCGACCAATGATGCGTGTAGTGAAGAAAAAACCCAAAAACGGTATAGAAGGTACGGCCTACCTCGACCAATGAGGCTTGTAGTGAAGAAAGATCCCATAACTTTTCTACAGTGTACAGATTGTGAAGAACAGTCGCAACTTCGCTATCAATTGTTTCGGTGGCCCGCTTAAGAATTGACACCTTTGACAACAATGTGAACAAAATAACAAACTGCAGTGACAAATAAACAAACGAATAAAAAACGAAAAAACAAATTTGTCAAAAATATAACAGATGGATGCGGAAGAAACACATCCATGAACACACGAAAAAAAATAATGGACCTAAATTTACTATCGGAAAAACGGATTAGTCATTATGCCACCACTACCCGTTTTGGAGACTTGGGAAAGGACTGCACGCATGTGATCGGCTGCGCAGTAACGCAGATTTGTCGCATATATTCCCAGTAACCATTTAACTGGTATCACAATACTGGTTTATTGCTTCTGACACCATCTTTTTTGATGCAGGCATACAAGTCCCACTCTCATGACCACGAATGAAATGGAATGCACAAATGAAATCGCCTTTCAAACCCAGACAAAGATCCTAAGCATTGTCAAAAAGTGAGCCTACCGCATTTGAAACAGCCGCATATACAATTACAGCTAGTCGGCTTGATTTGTACAACGATTTAAACCAAAGTTTATCTTGACCTCCTCCCAACGGTATATCCTGGTCTTACCTCTATGCTATCTATTTTTCCTATGAGAACTTAGAAATAATCCTCGCCCTTAGACAGAAATCATTTATATCATATTTGCAAAAAGCTAAAGGCGGCGAAAGAGTGGGAAAGGTACAAACTTGGCTAAGTTGAAATGAATTCCTATGTTTCATCCTAGCATGAAAAAGTCAACAATACATCTCACACAACAATTTATGAGAGACTACCATCGCCATCTCCAGAGTAAATATGAAACACACACCGTAATCTCAGAACTTGCTGCAGCTCTTTTCTCTTGAATTTCATGGTTCCTATGGTCCTTCAAACAACACATGGCACAAAGAAAATCCTAAAATACAGTTTTGTTAATATGTGTTCCTTCTTTGACAAGCTTACACGAGGTTGATAACAAGTTGCTATCAACCTCGTGAAAGCTTATCAGAGAAAGAACACATATGGATTAGTTATACAGAGGTTGAAGGAAAGTCAGTTTTGAAATATAACTCTGTTAGTTAAAGGCGTACGTTTCCTACTTAAAAGGAAGAGATTAATTGTAAGATGCAAAAGGCTTCTATCCAAATGTGTGACCTTTAACAAACCTTTCTACACGATCTACACAAAAAATGAACACGGGCCTCAAGTCGGCTAGAACAGCATGAACATGAAGTGGAATCCTGAGGGTCCTCTTCGAATAGGGAAATGATGTCTAAACAAAGGTAAGTAAAAGCAACCCACTAACAGCAAACATAACAGCGATGGACGAAAACAACTTACCCAGAACGTAGAAATTGGTCGGCAGCCCACCAGGAGGGATACTTGTTGCTCGTCGACATGTTGGGCATAGCACCTGTCCGTTGTTGATCTGAAACCATGACCTGGTCACTTTTGTACTCATTTTTAATAGACAGAAGAACCTATCAACCATCTCTCGACACATCAATGCTACAAGTAAGAACAAAGGATTATTTTAAAAAATTGAGCAGATATCGTTTTGCATTGCCAAGCCAATAAAATTTACATGTACCTTCTCCATAGTAGGACTAGACACTTAGTAACATGAGTGCTAGTACGACTTAGAAATCATGAGGACAAGTTAATCAAGCCTGTCACCGTAGTCCGCCAATTTAACCGTTCGTTAAATGTCCTCTTTTGAGCGAACGTGTTTCGAAATATCCGCTCATGGAAAGCACTACAAATCTGATAGTAGACAATAACTATTCATAAATACTTTGCAAGTTGTGATGAACACCAATATATCGAACTAGGGCCCATTTTTGGGACTAGATTAGTCTCATCGCTGTTGCCCACTACACTACTATTCCATATCATTCAAGCAAGATGACCTTGAGTTGAAGATGGAGTGGTCAACGCTATTCTGATGTTCTTTACCAAAAAACTTCTACGTCTAGCTCCAACTGCTTTTAAAACTGTGAAGTTCGATGTCGGGACTATTCTGATGAACCTCTAGATAGCGCAGTTTTCATGAATCAAACTTGGCAAAGAAGTGTTATTGGTGGAGCTACAGAAGGCATCACCGTCACTATGAACCACTTCTATGAAAATCCCTCATGATAGACTTCGAACCGGCTAATTGCGTCTGTGTTGAGTGCCCCTATACGGTGGATAATAGATTTAACTATCTATCCTCAACCTATCTTCATCGTTAACTTATCCTTTGACCGAGATAATGACTTGCAGTAGCCAATTAATTCATGAAGTCAGCGTTCTTTATACTCAGAGACAAGTCCCGCAGCAGTTTTCAGCCCCAGAAGGACGGCTGGCTTCCCTGTGAGCGACCGAATATGACGAACGACCACGTACATTAAAGTTTAACTCCAACCTATAAGCGTCTTCTGATAGTGATGGCGTGAAAAATACGAAAATATGTCATATTACTTGTTTGTCATTTATAGCTAAGAAATTCAAAAAGTCCAGTCAAAGGATTTTTTTGATGCTAAAGATGGTGCTAGTAACGGGACAAACTGAAGGATTACGATGCTGGAAACGGAAAAAACTGAAGGACTAAGAAGCTAATAACGGGAGAAATTGCTCAGCCTTTTACTTAGCAACGCAGAATCTTCCTCATTATCAAACCTGAAAGAAAAGAAAACATAATAAATGAGAAGAAATTTGAAGAACTGACCAAGTTATCGATGCAACTGGAACAAAAAGTATGGCCACAGGACAACTGCTTAGGCTGCTCCATCCGTAGAACGCAGATCGAGCACTCCAACAATTCGTGGATTTTGTCACGTTTCATAGGAGTATCCATTTCTCTTATGAAAATACAGGATCAGCTGATTCCTGCAACGAGTGATATTTATAAAGGCAGCAATAGTTAGCTCTGAGATAATGACGAGAAACCGGACGTCCAAAAGTACTGGTAGTCGTACTGTCAAGATTCACTGCTTTGAAATGCTGCTTTGAAAGGCAGGATACTCGGGAACTGATGCAGCATTTCTGCTTTTTTCTTCTTTTGTTTTAGTCCACGAACTAACCATACTGTTGATCGCTTACTTGAGCTCAACATCCATACGGTATGTTCATGGATTCTCCATAAATACAGTGGCTACTAGTTGAAGGGTAGAGTACAGCTTGCAGCGTTTATCAATCTTTGAAGGATACACCATGCATCCGACTTCATTAAGCGTCGTTGGGGTTGAATGAATGCATGTCTGGCCTTTAGAATAACTCGCGGTAGCCTATCGATGTATCGAGCCAATGCTGCCATCCTCCCAAACAAATATGGCACCAATTTGCCGACAGCAGAGTGGTGCAAGACTTGGGGAGTTTGAGACGCGGGGATCGACCCTATGTATTTTGCAAAGCGCCTCTGAGTACTGCCCTACACACGCCCTACTAGTTGAAGACACGCTAGAATCTCCACTTAAACCGTCGAGGTTGGGGATTCATGTGTAGCGGA